CTAAAGCAGCACTGACTCTAAAGCAGCACTGACACTGACCCTAAAGCAGCACTGACTCTAAAGCAGCTCTGACACTGACTCTAAAGCAGCACTGACTCTAAAGCAGTGCGTGTGTGTGTATATATATATATATATATATATATACACACACACACACACACACACTCACGGGCCACTTTATTAGGTACACCGTGCTAGTACTGGTTCGGACCCTTTGTCTTTGTCTGTCTCAGTGTGTGCCATGTTTCCCTGTACAGTTAATATATATATATATGTATATACTCTCACAGGCCACTTTATTAGGTACACCTTGCTAGTACTGGTTTGGACCCTTTGTCTTCAGAACTGCTTTAATTCTTCGTGGCACAGATTCAACAAGGTGTTGGAAACATCCCTCACAGATTTGGTTCATGTTGAACTGACAGCATCACACAGTTGCTGCAGATTTGTCGGCTGCACATCCACGATGTGAATCTCCTGCTCCTCCACCTCCCAGAGGTTCTCGACTGGAGCACAGTGACCTCACTGTCATGAGAAACCAGTTTGAGAAGATCTTTGTGACATGGTGCCTTCTCCTGCTGGGAGGAGCCATCACAAGATGGGTGTGGTCATAAAGGGATGGACATGGCAACGATTTCCAATCTTCTAATGTCCAGTTCTGAGTCTGTGAACGTTTGCCTCAGTAGATCTCAGCTGACAGGAGTGGCACCGGTGAGGTCTTCTGCTGCTGTAGCCCATCTGCTCCAAGGGTCCACGTGTTGTGTTCAGAGATTCTGCAGACCTTGGTTGTAACGAGTGGTTATTTGAGTTACTGTTTCCTTTCTATCATCTCCAACCACTCTGCCCATCCTCCTCTGACCTCTGACCTCAACAAGACATCTTCATCCACACAACTGCAGCCCACTGGATATTTACTCTTCTTAGGACCGTTCTCTGTGAACCCTAGAGATGGCCGTGTGTTAAATCCCAGTAAATCAGCAGTTTTTGAAATACTCAGACCAGCTCGTCTGGCACCAACAACCACGACACGTTCAAAGTCTCTTAAATCCACTTTCTTCCCCATTCTGATGCTCAGTTTGAACTTCAGCAGGTCGTCTTCACCACGTCTGGATGCCTACATTTACTGAGTTGCAATTGAACAGGTGTACCTAATAAAGTGGCTGGTGAGTGTGTGTATATGTGTGTAACTTTGTGGTCTCCGTCCTGCAGGGCTCGCTGTCCCACCCTGAGCTGCTTGTTGCCGTGGAGATGCTGTCATCGGTGGTGCTAATGAACGAGGCGATGGATGTGGGCGACCGAGCTGCCCTCTGGAAACAGCTGTCCAGTCCTGTCGCCGGACTCAGTAACGTGGAGGATGACTACGCTCAGAGGTGTGTGTGTGTGTGTGTGTGTGTGTGTGTGTGTGTGTCTGTGTGTGTGTGTGTGTGTCTGTCTGTGTCTCTGTGTGTGTGTGTTTATGATGTACCTGTGTGTTTCTCAGGTACATGGAAGAGCTGATGCGTCTTAAAGCTGCAGCGCGGGAGCAGGGCGGTGACTATCTGACATGGAACGACATCCAGGCGTCCATCGACCAGGTCAACCTGACGGTGCAGGAGGAGCATGAGCGTAAGAGACACTGCGTCCGTTTCATACTCCATCAGTGTCCGTTCACACCCCGATACTCCATCAGTGTCAAACTCCCAAAACATTCTTCGTTTTAATATTTAAACTTCAATAATTTACATTGAATCATTGTTTATAAAAAATATAAGTTCTGATCTGTGGGTGGAGCTTAACTCATGGTTGAACCTACAGATCTGATTGGTCCACAGCTCTGACGTGTGTGTATCTTAGGCATCGCTGCCATCGGGCTGATCAATGAGGCGCTGGATGAAGGTGACGTCATGAAGACTCTGGCCATGCTGCAGAACCCTGCGGCCAAGCTGACGGACGTGGACCCGTCTGTGGCTCAGCACTACCACGATAAACTGCTGGAGGCCCGCAGAGAGAAGGCCCATGTAAGAGTACACACAGTACATACACGGTGCATACAGTACACACAGTACACACAGTACATACACGGTGCATACAGTACACACAGTACATACACGGTGCATACAGTACATATAGTACACACAGTATCATCAAGATGAGCTCATTGGTGCTTTTTACTCTGTCATACATAATAAAACTGTAATACATGTACTTCACTGCACTATACCTTGTGTGTGTGTGTGTGTGTGTGTGTGTGTGTGTGTGTGTGTGTGTGTGTGTGGTCACCTGTAAAGTTCAGTGTTTCTCATGTTAACAGATGTGAACTGGATGTTTTTGTGTGGATGTGTGAGGGGTGAAAGTGTTTTCATGGCTCACAGGGATCAAACCTTCAGATGCTTCATGTGACACGACCACACTTATGATGTCATCGTTTCTTTCTCCCACTCACTTCGTCTCTTTGGCCCCTGTTCGTCCAACTCTTCCTTTTTTCCTTATTTCAACATCTTTTGGTTTCAAGTGGAAAAGTTGAGTGTTTTCACAGACGTCTTTTTTGAAAAGCAGATCATCAGTGTCTGACTCATCTCTGGTGTCGCTGCTTGAGTGAAGTTGAAGAGTGTGGTTCCTGAATGTTTGTCTGTGTGTGTCTGTGCAGCCTATTTATATATACAACATACAACACCACAGACGATTGTTTGGGTTCAGATCAAGACGTGACTGTGATGTTGTGGACAAAGGAGCAGGTGAAACCTCATTCGTCCTTTAGACCTAAAACTGCAGAGCTGAATGTTCCCCGACGTCTGAAAATAGATTCCTGGCACATTTTAGTTCAGACTGTTTTGATGGTGTATAAATATCTTGGCCACTCCCACACACAGTTACACTCACACCCTGGAACATGTCATGGATCAGTTCGGCACACTTCGGGAAAAAAAGAGAATTTTCCTGCTGTTTTCAGAGGAACAGGAAATAACAAGCAGGGCTCAGTGGTTTCTTCCATAAAAGGGCAGAACGTGGTCATTATGTGGAATCAACCTGAGGCTCACAGCCTCTGGTTGATACTGTGGCTGTTTGAGCAGCTGAACACAGGAAGTGGTTAGAGCCGTGGTGGGGGCTGACGAACTCAGCTCAGAACAGCCACATGTTGAGAAGCTTCCAGGTGATCTGGGATCAGAGGAATGTTTTACACACAAGGATTCAAAGAGTCAGGTCCAGATCAGCAGCAGGACTGAGTCCAGATCAGCAGCTGACTCTCACAGACGAAAATAGTCCACTCCGACAATCACAACTTCTGTGTGTGTGTGAGAAACACATTAATGAGCTTCACTGTTTATAAAGATGTTTACATGTTGTTTCCGTGATGTTTCCGTTTTGTATCATGTTGTTTCCGTGATGTTTCATGTTGTTTCTGTGATGTTTC